GCAGGACGAAAGTTCGTCGCGCTTGCGCATCCCTGCATCACGGAACAATTAAAGTATTATAAATGTATTCCGGTGGATTAATTCCTCCGCTAGCCCGGCCAGCGAAAACGCGCTTTCGCGTACTCCGCGTCCTCCGCAACATGAAAATAAACAAATGCGACGAAACTTTATTCCTAGTGATGTATAAACCCCATATGAGCGTGCCTGAGCCTTCAGCACACTAACGCGATGCTTTGTTTCAAGCTCGTCGACCTTCAGCCTGCAGGAAAGAGGCTACAGCGAACAACAAGGGATCAAAGAGGGAAGTTTCGAAAGGGTTTCTATATAGGGTTCATATAAGGTGTATATAGGGGTCATATAGGGATAATGGAAAAGAAAATGGAAGCTACATTATTACAACAGGGTATATATATATATAGGGGGTATGCAGGTGCATGGGTGCGTGTGGGTGTATCTCAGGCGCAGCTAGGTCTATCTGGGTATACCTCCGTGTACGGCCTGCGGCAACGCTTTCCAAAAAGCTTTCATGCATGGCATTTCTTTACATGCTGGCTCCTTGGTCAAGAAATCATACTTGGAGGTCAGGGGGGGATAAAGTAAGCGGGTTAGGAATAAGGATAATGAGTGTTAGTATATGGCTTATAATCATACTTACTCAGTCCCCGCTGTCCTGTCCATCCAAATAGGAGAACTTCCAACATACGGCAGGGCAAGAGCCAGAGCTGTGCACAGCACAATACGATATAGGAATTATATAGGGTCATATAGGGTCATACAGGGATGATATAGGGTCATATGGGGTTATACAAGGGTTATATTGGGGTTGTATTGGCTCATATAGGGTTATACAGGTATGTCTCAACATGTCACTTTCAGAGGCGCGGACTGCAACTCCGTGTGATTGAGCTGGTACTCGCGGTGCTTCTCCTGACCCCTAAACCCTGAACCCTAAACCCTTTAACCAGTCCTGGGGACCCTTAGGCATTGACTCTAACATGCAATGGGGCGCTACTGCTGAGAAGCATCCAGTACTTCAGGGTTGAGGGTTTAAGGTGCCGTGGTCGAGGACAAGGCCTGCCGAATTTCAGTGTTTGTACTTCTGGCGGCTGCGCACGCACGTCAGTCGGTGAAGTGTCCGGCTAGGGTACGGCCCCTTGCACACCCCAAAAAGGATGAGGTTTCTCAAGCAAACAAAGTTACCCCTCTATAAATCCTGCAGGAGGACTCCGTGAGTCTGTTTTGAATCCCGATGTGTGTGTGCGCGCATCTGCTATACACACAGAAGTCTCCCTCCTTACGGTCCCCAAGTGCAGTCTTTCAACAAACTCCCAATCCTAAATTACCCTAAGCTCCAAAACCTAAACCCCAAATCCTAAGCTCCAAAACCCTAAACTCTAGACCCTAAACGACGCCTCGAAGCCCAACGTATCCTACGTCACTTGGCCAACATAGAAGCCCAGCTTTCATTTGATCTTGAATGTTTAATGTTTTCATGGGACCTAGGGTTTAGTCTCCTTCTTTTCTGCTTGATTGATTCCCCATAGTATTGGGGTAATAACCTTAAACCTTAAACCCTAAATTGAAAGTCTATCCCTATCAAATTCGATTTAACCCTATAAAATCCTTATATTCCCTATAAAACCCTGTATAATCCGATATACTCCATACAAACCCCTTCACATCTTGTAAGGGATTACAATAGTACCCCCCCAAAGGTACCCCCCCCCCCAGATTTTGAACCCTATGAGGCCTCATTAAACCCTATATAGTCCTTTTTGGCTCCTTAAACCCTGCGGGGGGGTACCTTCGGGGGGGGTACTATTGTAATCCCTTATCTTGTGCCATCTCGGGAAAATTCCAGGCTCCTTGGCTTCGTCTAGGGCGCGCTGTTGCTCCGAAGTCTTTTCTAACAGCTCGACCTGGGCCGGCAATCAAGGGGTTTAGGATTGAGATTTTAGGGTTT